TGTTCACAACAGAGTGTTTAGATGTGACACAGATGTTCTCACATGGATGACCATTTTTCACAGTTTATTCATTTATTACCCCCTCTCTCCTATTGGCCATGTCCATGCATGTTCCTTGTTCAGAATATTCTAAGCCTCCAGTGATGTGAGTTGTGTAGAGATTTATACCTCAAAAAATGTTGGCTGTGGCTCCTAAAATTGTTTGAATTTAAAGTAAATGAATGGGCTAAGATTGGAAGATTTCCCTGCATGGCTAAATTAGAATTTCAAGCAAGTTCTGATATCCAGTCTTAGTGCTCTGTTAGACTGTGTTGATAGTTGCATGCCATTTAGAACATTGCTGAATGTTTATAAGCCCTTTTTCAATCAGTAGGTTGTATCTCATAATTCAGTTATGAATAAAAGATTTTGTGGGTTTGTGAGATTCCATATGTGGTTGCTGCTTATTCTGTCTGCCCAAGAAGAATCTCGGCAAGTGCCACTACTCTTTGGGATAACACTGCTAAGGCAGAAGTAGTAATGCATCCTGAAATATATTGCTGAATAGCTATTAGCAGTAGAAAAACAGCAGTTTTCAATCCTTTCCCTTGGTTTCCCTTTCCTCCTCTCAAAAACCAATCTCCTACAGCTATCGATCAGCTAATAGGTGGGTTGTCTGGAAGTCTGTGATGGGTGGCACAAGTCTGAAGGATTTTTCAGTGTAATGCAAGGAGGAATTGCTATACACATGAGTAATTGAATTGAGTATACGTAACTGTTTACAGGTAGTCCCCAGTTTAAGAACGAGTTCCTTTCCCTTAAGTCAAATTTGTATGTCAGCCAGAATAATACTCTTTAAAATAATACTATTTATACTACTGTATAAGTAGTATTGTGTAATGAACTTGAACCATTGTGTATTTAATTTGAATCATTATGGATTTACCTTTAATTTTGTTACATTAGGCTCCATTCTTAATTATGGGTTGTCAGTAAACTGGGTATTCTTAATCCGGGGACTACCTGTATTTTAAAATGTACATGATCCAAAATCAAATTTAGGTTTCATTTTGGTCTTATCTTCCTTTCCCTGCCAATAATTGTTTTATTGAGCTTAGGGCTGGTAAGATACCATTCCAAAGCTAAGGAAAACCCTCAGCCAAGGAAAAAAAGTCAGGCATTTGTTAATCATGTAGAGTAGCTGATTTTCTGCTGAAGATAATGGATAGTGATGAGTATAGCTGGAAGATCACTATCATTGTTCGTTTAGGAATATTAAACATACCATGTCTCATTGTTTGTGCTTATTGAAAAGCACTCATGTCACCTCAAGCTATGAATCAAGCTATTTTCCACAGAGATTTTATTAATTTAAAGCATTGCTGTGCTGCTCTTCAACCAGAAAAAAATTCCCAGTGAGGCTCTATACTAATCAGTAGGGAAGACGTCATTGAGGAAGGAGCAGGAGCATGGGGAAAAAGTGATAACATGTAATGCTGGAGTTTAAGGAACCTAAAACTTAGCGTAGCCTCATATGTATTCAAAAAGGCAAATTAAATAAACTTAGAGCAGTTAAAAGTAGGATCTCTTGGCAGGAGAAGCTACTGGGAAAAGGGGGGTTTAAAGACAAAGATACTAAAAGGAAATTGCAGATGATTCCAGTGAGATGAAAAATAAAAAAGGAAAGAAGAAGCAATGTAGTCACACAAAAAGCTTAGTGAAAACATAAAACTGTAAGGACAAATATAAGAAATGGAAAGAGGTCCAGGTCACAAAGAATAATAAAAACTCTAGAGTTGGGGTCAAGAAGACAAAAACCACAGCATGAACTGAGGTTAGGGAAGGAGACTAACGAAAAGGGCTTATTTTGATATGTTCAAATTAAAAGAGAAAAATAAAGAATCAGTATATTGGCTGTACAATGAAGATAAAATGCTACAAGTAGTGGCAGAAAGGCAGAGCTACTCAATTCCTATTCTGGTTTAGTCTTCTGTAGCAAAAAAGTATGTTTCCATCAGAACATTTTGAAGAGCCGAATGAAAAGGCAGAATTGATGCTTTGAAAAGGATAACAACATGGCCTGGGAATGCCTTTGTACTCTGAATGAATTGAATCAGTTAATACCAAAGGTATTAGCTGATGGTCTGAATAAAATCTAACAGACAAATTCTAAGTTTTCTATTTGGGAGACAAAATTCAAACGCACAGGTATAATTTGGGAGGCTTTGTAATACTTGTGAAAACGATGTTGGAGCAAGAGTTGATTGTGAACTGAATATGAGCCAGCAGGATGATAGGGCTATAAAAAAACCCAAATGTAATTATTCCACTATGTTCTCATTTCATTAAACATCCACTTCAAATACTGTTTCTTGTTCTGAGCAGCCATACTTTAAGAAGGATTCGGAGAAATGGAACAAATTTAAAGAAGGCAGCAAGGATGATCATGGAACTAGAAACCAGGTCTTATAAAGAAAGGTGGAACGTTTAGTATGTTGGTGCCTTGAGAAAAGATGACCCTGTATGTGTGTATGTGCACTCTTTAACTAGCTGAAAGAATACCATGAAAAAGAAGGTCAGGATCTGTCCTGTTTCTTTCTGGAACAGTGGACTTAAGCTACAGGAAAGCAGAATTTATCTGAACGTCAGATGCAATTTTCTAACAGTAAGAGTAGTTTGATAATGGAACTGATTGGAGCTAATGATTCAAAGAGTGGTGGGCTCATTTTCATTGGATGTATTCAGACAGAAGCTAAACAACCATCTACTTGGGATACCAGTACCGAGCAGGAGGCTGGGCTCAGTGATGTAAATGGCTCCTTCCAACTCTATGCCTTTAGAGATACTAGCTCAGCATTGGGAAGAAACACCTCGGAGAGATTCCCACAGCCAAATGCCGGACTAGATCAGTCGTTGGCCCTGTGTGGGTTTTGTGCTGTACCACAACGTCAGTTAGGTCA